CCACTGGTGGTACCAGTACTGGTGTTGCCAGTGGCCAAACTGGTGAGCCCTACAAACCAGAGCTGGTGCTACCAGTGCTGGTGCTTAGGGCCAAAGAGCCTGTCCTGGGTTCTCCAGGCTAAAACCAGCAAGCTGGTGTAAACCAGTAAGCTGGTGCCTGTAGCAACCAGCCCGGCTGGTGGTAGCCTCCGGTAGGAGCTGGTGCTTCAGGCAAAGACCTACCAGCCACCAGTGTAGGTGAAGCTGGTGGTAAAATAGGAATAGGAGCTACAGCTCCCATGGCCGCTAATAGAGCGGTCTCTTAGTTTCACCTCAGCCGAAGGCAGCGCGACCTCACGCCGCCCAGGAAAGGAAAGGAAAGGAATCTTGTTTGGGGGCAGCAGCAAAGCCCAGGACAGAGGCGGAGGAGTACTCGTACTACACAGGAGAAGAAGAGTCGCCTGAAGTCCCGGAGCCCAGCAAGAGGGAAAGGTTTGTGGCGACTGTAAGGGCAGCTGCCAAGGAGCGCCAGCAAGGAAGTGTGGCTCCCAATCCTGGTGATGACCAGGAGATGGTGGAGCCTGTCAAGGAGGAAGCCAAGCTGCCAGAGCCCAAAGCAGGGCCACAGGATGAGCCAAAAGCCCCCAGCTCATCCACTAGTGAATCCAGTAGCAGCAGCTCCGAGGCAAAGGGGCCGGGGCAACAGCCTGAACCAAGCAAGTCTCCTGGTGGCAACCAGGAGACAAACACGTCACCAGGAGGCACGCCCAGGGTTGCCAAGGCAAAGGCGCCACCACCAGGCATTCCAATTCCTGGTGATGACCAGGTTATGGAACCACCGGCGGAGACCAGCAGCACGGAAGAAAAGGAGCTGGCAGCTACAGAATTCAAGGAAGAACTCAAAGGTGAAGCCAGCCCTGAGGGGCCTGTGGTGTCCACCACAGGCGGAAGACACCAGCTCGTGTTTCGAGCCGGTGCGGGTCCAGGAGGGCCCTGCTGCGTCTGTTTTGGGTACCCTGCCCAGGGCAGACTATGCACAGACTATGCAGTTTGTGGTGAAGATGCGCAAGGACGTGAAGCCCTACCACTCGCGTTATGAGCCGGAGCTCAGGGTCACCTACACAAACTGTGGGGAGGAAGCTGGTGTTACCAGCGCCCCTCTGCAGGTTCTAGGCCTGGGGGGCTCCAGGATAGTGGCGGTGGCTCCTCACCAGGAGAACCTGGTGTGGAAGATCGCGTGTGCCCTCAAGAGAGGGAGAGGCTGGC